AGCCAACATACATCATGGATCGGAAATATCGGCAGGAGGATCGAAAAATCCGATACGTAAATTATGCTGGTATCGGAGGCCGATACCGATACTGGATCAGATTTGCCCCATCCCTAATATATATATATATATACATATATATGTACAGTATAAATGGTAAATGGACTGTACTTTTATAGTGCTTTTTTATCTTATTTCAAGATACTCAAACACTTTACTCGACAATCTGTGCCTCATTTACCCATTCATACAGAACTTTACAAGATCTCTACAAAGCTAACTGAACAAATCATTCTAAAGACACTGAACCACAATCAGTGCTTTATCACATTCATACACTGATGGGACACATATCAGAGGCTATGGGGGTTTCAGTGTCTTGCCCAGGGACACTTCGGCATGTGACTGCTGGTGGATTCAAACCCCCAACTCTTGCATTGGAGGACGACTGCTCTAACCACTCAGCCGCAGCCACCCTCTATATGAATATATATGCATGTATGTATACTGTAAATGTTAGGATTTGTGTATTTGGATTCGAGTAAGACACCTGGCAACATGAATGGTTTAAAGACTATTCTATAAACACTGCTGGTGGAGGTGTAAGTCCTGGAGCAAGCCCAATCTTATTCAGATGAGATGAGTTCCACCTGATAGAGTTGGACAGGGTGATTTCACCGTAGCAAGCAGGATTGTCGCATAGAGGTAGTTTGAGGAGATCCAGAGGCAATATCCAGGAGTAGAGCAGAGAGTCGGTACCGAGGAGGCAGAGGTCCAATATTGATGCCAAGAGGGTAATCCAAGAGATGTAGTAATTTATCCAGAAGAGTAGGTCAAAGCCATGATGAGAGGAGTGAAACAGTAACAGGCAAGGAGCAGGCAATTCAACAATCCAAAAAGACAGGCGTGGGGTCAAGATCAGGCCAACCAAAAGAACTGTGACATGAATGCTGGACATCAATAACCACAAGGGATTCGACTGGCAGAGTGTGGCTGTGAGCATGAGGCTTAAATAGTGCTTGGAACAGGTGGACAGAATGAGCCTGATTGTGTGGAGGTGCAGAGGGGCGTGGCTTGAGAGCAAGGCTTGAGATCAGAGCATGATAGAGGAAAACAGTGCATGACTTGGTAGAAATGTGACAATAAATACACATATACAGTATATACATACATATTAGAGGAATTTCTTGAGCTCTGTAGAACATCTAGTGCTGCTCAGCTCCTGACTTAAATATTTTTGATTCCTAACAGTGTCACTTTAAATTCTCTGGGGGCTCATCATCAGTCATAAGCATTACTTCCACCATCATTTTTAAGTAAATGGTAAATGGCCTGTTCTTATATATCACCTTTCTGTCTTATCAAGATACTCAAAGCTTTTTACAACACAATCTGTGCCTTATTTACTCATTCATACAGCACTCTTTTACAAAGATTAATCAGAGCTTTAGATCACATTCATACACTGATGAGACACACATCGGAGGCAGTGAGTGGTTCAGTGTCTTGCCCAGGGACACTTCAGCATGTGACTGCTGGTGGAACTGAACTCCCAACTCTTACATTGGAGGACGACTGCTCTAACCACTCAGCCATAGCCTCCTGAGTGTACAAATGCTAAAGCATACCATACCAAGGTATCTACAACTGCTGAACTCTTCGTGTGAAAGAGGCTGAGGAGCAAAGTGACTTCAACAGATCCACCGACTGAACGCTGTCAGAAAGATGAAGCTACTAATTAAAGTTTTAATTCTGTTTAATGATTTAACATTAAACTGTGAGTGCAGTTGTTGCTGTATCTGTTCTTGTTTTAGACCTCTTTCTTTCTGCAAAAACCTCACAGATTTTCTTCTTTCAGGTCCTTTGCCAAACATTCCAGGGATCTAAACCTTTAGATTTTCAGTGGCTGAATGCTTTTTGAGCAATAAGTTCATCTTGTTTTTGTTTGTTTGTCTGCAGGACTTCCTCACAGATTTGATGATGTCGGAGGTGGACCGCTGTGGGGAGAATGAGCACCTCATCTTCAGAGAAAACACACTAGCCACAAAGGCCATCGAAGAATATCTGAAATTGGTGGGACAGAAGTACCTGCAGGACGCCCTCGGTAAGTGGACCAGGGATCGGGGATCAGGACTTGGGCCAGGAAGCTATTCCAAAAAGGAGGTTCAACAAATTTGAAGTTTAAACTCTTAGTTAACTTTCTCAGAGTGGAGAAACTCTTTGAGTCTGCAGGTCCAGAACCTCTTATTACAATCTCGAAGTATTCAATCCTTCAATTAAGAGCATGCACAGTCAAAAACAATCATCACCATGGCAACCACAAGACATAAAAATATAGATTGTTTCTAAAAATGATCAAATCCAACGAGAGTACCTGAGAGTTTAATTCATGTAGAAATTTTTCCAATGTTTTTTTCCAATAATTACATTTGTTTCCAAAATTATCCAAAGAGAGAAAGAGAAGAGTCTACTTACCTCTGTTTCTAGTATGGACAACACATGAACTCTGAGTTTTCTCTTAACCTGCTTTCTGGACTCCACCCCTGAGGCACATGCTGGAAAATTTTACTGTTCATCTGTAAAAACAAAAAGCTTTCCACTCCGACACTGTTGTCACTCAACATGATGGTTGTTGTGTCCAAAGCTGATCTTCATCTTTAGGCAACTTCCTTTTTCTCAGCTGACTTTGTTTCCTCTCCTGACTTTGTGATTATTTTGATCACTAACGTGCTCACAGACAATTTTTTAGTTGTTTAAAACCACAAATGGAAAAACAGATTAAACAAATTCATTTTTTGTCCTCAAGGGTCATTTGGAGAGGACGGCAACTGATGCAGCTTTTCCGTCTTCTCGGTTTGTGTTTGAGAAGCTTGATGTCGACAAAACGCTTCATAACAGCAGAAAACTGAAAAGCCCATTAGGGGTGTGTAACGATAGGTCTGGTGGTCCAAATGAAATTAATGATGTACCAAATGATGCTTACAGTGTGTTATTAGTTCAGTACATCATGCTGATCAATCACCAGAGTCAGAGTCTCTCTGTGGATCCACATTCTGCTGAATGGATCCAACAGATCTGTGGGTTTATCTGTCTCTAACAAATCCAGATACATATGGCTGGTTTTTTTTACCCAGTTTCAGTATTTATTCTTGTCATTTTCAGAGGAACTCAGGGGGAGTGGTGGCGCAGAGGTTAGAGAACGTGGGCCTGTGACCGGAAGGTCACCAGCTCAACTTCCAGTACAGACAACATCAAAATGTGGATGGCAAAGGTGAAGCACCCGCATCTGCCTCCACCCTCATGGGCCCTTGAGCAAGGCCCTTAACCCCCACCATCTGCTCCCATGGACACCCTAGATAGCAGCTCTCTGCTCCACACAGAGGGCTGTGGTAGCTCGGTGGTCTGTGGTTGTGTCAGGAAGGACATTTGGTGAAAAAACAAGTGCCAAGTCTTTGTGCAACTAAGTTCACTGTGGTGACCCCTGAAAAAGGGAGCAGCCGAAAGAAGACGAAAAAATATATACCGCTTATACCGTTTTGGGGTTTTTTTGTCAGAGGAACTCTGACCTTTTTGTGTTTGCAGCTCACATCTCCCTCCATGTCTGTCTGCAGGCTGATCAGAATAAAATAAGAAATGAATCCTCATGGCATGGATTTAGCTGTTTGACTTGAGGATATCCAGTTGAACTGATTCATCTTCTGACAAGAGATAAACGTCTTTGCAAACAGCAAGGCCAGAGAGAGAGAGAGAGAGAGAGAGAGAGAGAGAGAGAGAGAGAGAGATTATGTTTCTTTAACGTGAATTCTGATCCGAGTGGAATAACGATCTGAGACTGCTGCCAGACTGAAGTCGGGCTCGCATCATGGGCTGATGACTCATCCGAGTTAAACCATATTTATTTTACTGTTTTATTTCTCTGCAGCCACTCCTGTTGTGTCTGTGCCAAACAAAAACATATATTTATATAAATACCAGTCTATATATAATTTTCTAAACAATTTTTTTTCTGTAGGTGAGTTCATTAAGGCTCTGTATGAGTCTGATGAGAACTGTGAGGTGGATCCATCCAAGTGTTCATCTGGAGACCTGGCAGAACATCAGAGTAACCTGAAGATGTGCTGTGAGCTGGCCTTCTGCAAAATCATCAACTCCTACTGGTGAATTCTGCAGCCTGCTCTAAACACCATTCAACAGTTTATTTATTATGGTCTGTGAACCATTCGCTATATGTGGAGCTAATTGGACCCATGGCTTTAATAATGATATCATAATATTAAGTTTTTTCAATAATTTAAATTTTAGTTTAATCTGTATTTTATAAGAGTTTGATAACTTAGATCAGGCTTAAATCAACACAAGTATTGAAAAAGTCTTTAATGAGGTTTTATTTGATTTGGCTACAATTTATCAAATGAATCACATTCAAACAAAGAGTTTAACATTTGAGTGTTTAATACAGATTGGAGAAACAAATTAGTGATTCCAACATGTTTATTTTTTATTGTTGTTGTTTTAGAGGAAACATATTCAGTCATGCGTTCATTATGTAGGAATAGCCCCCCACCACAACCAAATTTTTTTTTTTTTTCATTGAAAAACATTTTTTACTTTTTGTTTCAACAGTCATGAACACATACCAAAAGTTTAAAAGATAGTTGATTATAAATCTTTAAAAGACAAAATAAATTTTGTCAAACTAATGAAAGTCTTCAGTGATTGTGAATCTTTATTATGTTGCTCACCATGAAGTGAAGTTAAAGCCCTCCCCCTCTCTTGTTTCAGTGTGTTTCCACGAGAGCTGAAGGAGGTCTTTGCATCGTGGAGACAGGAGTGCAGTAACCGGGGGCGACCGGACATCAGTGAGCGGTTGATCAGCGCCTCCTTGTTCCTGAGGTTTCTGTGTCCGGCCATCATGTCGCCCTCCCTGTTTAATTTGATGCAGGAGTATCCTGATGACCGCACAGCGCGAACGCTCACCCTCATCGCTAAAGTCACACAGAACCTGGCCAACTTCACCAAGTGAGCTTTTGTTTCTGCTCAGCCTTCTTCTGTCCAAGGTCTCAGCTCCAGAGGCCAGATTTGTTCTCACTCTTCTGTGGTTTTCAGGTTTGGAAACAAGGAGGAATACATGTCTTTCATGAACCAGTTCCTGGAGCATGAGTGGACCAACATGCAGCGTTTCCTGCTGGAAATCTCCAACCCAGAGACGATCTCCAACACGTCAAGCTTTGAGGGCTACATCGACCTGGGCAGGGAGCTCTCCACCCTGCACTCCCTTCTCTCAGAGGTGGTCTCCCAGATGGACCAGGTACTGAAGACGTAATGAGAACTGTGTTTTCCATCACGATTTAGATCCAAGATTCAAACAGATAAATGTCAGAACACCCAGCGGTAGTAAGAAAACAAAAAACTATCATGGTGGAATTTTCCAGGGTTTTACGCAACACCTTAGTCTCAGTTTTAAATCCAGCAGCCCGAAAGGTACAGATTCATTCTCATCATGTTTGTTGTGGAATTTTACAAGTAAGGATGAGAAAATTTCTTCAGAGTCTAAATCCTTCTTAGACTGAATCAGGATGTTTATACTGCATTCATCAATAATTCATAGTTTCATTAATAAGGGGTACACAGGAGGAGCGTCCAGAATAATGACTGTTCAGACACATTAGCTGTGGCAACAGATCGTCTGGGTTTTTGTTTTTTAATTAACACTTTTTGATGTAATTTTTTTTTAAAGAAATTCCAGTTTGAGACTTTAGAAAATTAGGATTGCCATCGTGTAGGGAAATGAGCTCTTAAAATAAGAAATATATATATATATATATATATATATATATATATATATATATATATATTTATATATGTAAATAAATGACCGCATTCATTTTGATGGGTCAAAGATAAATAACGTCTCTCGTTACATTTCTGTTGAATTCAATGCACGCATGTTACACAGTCCAGAAAAATGAAGAACCCGTTTAATGTATGAATATATCACAGTATATGTCATACTACATCTGGATTACAACATGAGTTAGTTCGCTGTAGCCGACCCCTGAAGAAGGAAGCAGCTGAAAATAAAAATGTAAATTAAATTGAACAAAAGCAAGTAAAATCTAATTATTACCTTATCCTATAAACATACTGCTTTGAATAAAGGTCAAGTAACTAGCACCGTATATATCGATTTCTATCAAGTGTTTGATACAGTCGATCATTATACTCACTTACACAAGTGACTTCTTTTCAACTTTAATTTTCTGCAATAGAAATATTTTCTTCCTGTTTAACTGATAGGTGCCAGGTTGTGGTCACTACCCTATCCTGGTCACTACCTTGCTCTATGGGAGTCCCTCAGGGTAGTGCACTGGGTGCATTGCTTTTTTATTATACATAAATGACCTTCCCAAAACATTTAATCACTCCAATATTTTAATGTATGCTGATGATAATGTTCTTTTCCTGTCTGTCTCAAATATTGAATCTATCAACAGTCAGCTACATGCAGATCTTCAGCTATTTCATTTCTGGCTACAAGAAAATCGTTTGATGATTAATGTAAAAAAAAAAAAAAACTTTATGTACCGTGTGTATTTTTCCTCACCTAGGAGACATTTCATTATATGAAATCCTCTAAACAAACCTCTTTCTAGTGTCACTACTTATAAATATCTGGGAATTATTTTGGATTCTCATTTAACTTATCATGACCACGTGCAATCCTTATGTACTAAGCTGAATCAAAAAATGTATGTTTACTCCAAAATTAGATCAAATTTGACATCTTCTGTTTCGAACACTTATCTTCATGCCATACTACTTTCAACTCAGTTGTACTGTTTACCTGTCTAGTCTCTTTACTACTAATGAAATCCTGAAACCCATAGTTAGGCTCTACAATAAGGCCTACACAATTCATAACAAACTTCCCGGCTGGACTCATCACTGTACAGCTCTTTCTTCTTCAACTGCTCTAACTTTTTTAAATTATGCTGTAAACAGAAGTATTAAATTTGTATTTTCATGTTTTTCATGATGTCAGTAATGTAGCTCTTTCTACTTTGATGCCTAAAACCAATAATGGACATGGTCGCTCAACTAGGTCTGCTACAAGCGAACACTTGTCACTTCTAGCCTTTAAAAACTGTTATGGACAAAGATAATTTTTCTGTGTTTATACTAAAGCATGGGATGACATTCCAAAACATATAAAGTCCATCTCAACATTGGCACTTTTTAAGAAGACTCATGCTCATCATCTGTTGGACACCTTCTTTTGTAATCACCGTTAGGTCTCTGCCATGTAAATGCTGCTCTTCTTGTATTTTGTAATGTGGTATGTGTGTGTCTGTTAATGTGATGTGATGCTGGATATCTGTGTGTTTTATGTTCTGCAGAGCAGGAACCTGCTGTACAACAGCAATTATGCTGAGCCAGGACCGATTTCTTTTAATCTTTTCCTGTTTAAAAATTAAATAAATAAATCCTCAGAGATCCTTTATCATGTTTTTCTGTGCAGAACGCAGCTTCGAAGCTGGGCCCTCTTCCCAGAATCCTGAGGGAGGTAAACATGGCTCTGTCCAACCCGTCCAGTATCCACATGACACCCAGTCAGCCCTCAGAACCGGTGCACTCTCCTCCTGAGGCAGGCAGCAGCATTTCCACTGGCCTGCAGAAGATGGTCATCGACAACGAGCTGTCGGGGTAAGAAGACCAGTTTTAGGGCTCGGACAAGAATCTGGATTTTACATGAACTGTGAGGATAAATCTGGTTTCTGCTCCGGTTCTTCTGATCAAACTTTCACACCATAAACACAGGAGGATCAGAAATTCAAAACTTGTGTTTCAATACAGAGAACGGAAAAATAAATTGTACTCAAGAGATGAAAATGATGACGATGATGATTGGGATTATTACAATGACAGTGGTGATGATGTGATGAAAGTTTTAGGAAAAAAGTTTAGAAAAGTTCTAGTTAGACAAGAAAGCTTTTCTGATTAGATGACTGAATATCAAATTACTGCAGTGTATAGGTTGTAGTCTTTACTACTTTAAGGTAAAAGTTTAATTCTTTTTTATGATTGTTCTGTGTTTTTCTGCATCTCAGTCAACCAACAGTCCATCTACACTTTGTCATATGAATTGCTGCAGGTTGGGTTTTCTTTCTGAGGCTTTGCTTATCTGAACATCAGAATTTGTGAAACCTGTCAGCCTTCCAGCAGATAAAAACATCCTTTTATCAAGCTCATCTCTCATCCTCTCACTGCCCGATGAGCAGTTATATGAGCTGAACATCATCATCAACAACATGAAGCAGCCACACAGATGATTATATGCTGAAAGAAACAGGAAGTGAGTCAGATATCTGATGCCATTAAGATCAATAAAACTAATGAACTACTGGCCCTTTAGAGCCAGGGTGTCCATGTTTATCACAGTAGCTGTTAGCTCATGTGTGTGTTTGTCCACATGAGCAAGCTTTGCGAGTGAAATTCAAATGATCCCAACTCTCTCCGTTAATGTCTCCTCTTCCACTCCATAGTTGCAATAAAGCAAAGGAATGAAAGACGCCAAGTCTGAAAGTGAGGAGAAATTGAGCAGAAGAAAATGGGACGTAAGAAGGAAGCTTGTTGGAGTTCAGTGAGGGATAAAAGCAGAGTGTGAGGTGAATGAGATATTATCAGAAGCTGAGTCACATCTGTCAGGGCAAAGAACTCCATCTGTCTGAGTAAAGGAAGGAAGGAAGAAAACACCAGGAAAAGCAAGGTGAAAACATCTCAGTGCTGCCATCTGCCATTAAATATATTTAATATTAGCTTATAAAGAAACCAGAGTTTGCTTTGGTTCATGTTAAAGAAGATTACTGTTACACAGGCCAAAAGATGCTCTCAGTCATCCAGAACAAAATTAAAAACTTTTTTGAATTAAGAAAGCCTCTCGGAAAGGAAGCAAAATGTCTTCAACTACAGTAACAAGTCGTTATTTTGTTTTGGACTCTCATTGAGTTCTCTGAGGTTTCTAAGGAACCACCTGTGAGCAATCTATGTCAGTCCGTCTCCATAAAGACGTCTTCTGACAGGGCCCAGAATCAACACCAGAGCAACACTTCCTAACTAAGAGCTACTGCTCAGAAAATGATACCATGAAAACCAAGAAATGCTATACATGGATCAGGAGCACAGATCAGATTAAACTCTTTAACCACCCACAGAGTACATGAAATCCATTATAAGAAAATTAAAAGATTATGCAACCACAGCAAACCTATCAAGAGTGAATATCAAGGAGCTGAATACCTTTGCAGCCTACTGTGTTTTAATACATTTTACGTATAGTTGAAGAAAATTAAAATATTATGCAACCACAGCAAACCTATCAAGAGCGAATGCCAAGGAGCTGAATACCTTTGCAGCCTACTGTGTTTTAATACATTTTACGTATCATTATAGTTGATTAAACTCAAGATCAAACTCTTGATATTTGAACGTTTTGTTATTTTCAGATTGGTTGACTTCACCAGGTTACCCTCACCCACCCCGGAAAATAAGGACCTCTTCTTTGTGACGAGGAGCTCATGTATCCAGCCATCGCCTGCACGCAGTTCCAGTTACTCTGAGACAAATGAGCCTGACCTGAGTATGATTAACGGCAGCAAAAGTTTGTCCATGGTGGACCTCCAGGACCCCCATACTCTGGACATTGAAACTGGTCCTAGCCCCTCAGATGCTCTGGGTGAAGGCCAAGCTTCTGGTGGAGGTTGGTCAGCCAGAATGTCACAAGGCAGCATTCCAGCAGGTCCTCCCCTGAGGAGGCCAGGCCAGACCCCCACCACCCCTGGAACAGAAAGTGCTCCAGGCCGACCTGCCCAGCTGCTTGCACCACTGTCCTTCCAGAACCCAGTTTACCAGATGGCAGCCTGCTTGCCCATGTCCCCTCGAGGAATGACAGACTCAGGGTCAGAGTGCCACAGTTCTGTTAGTTCCCATAGTAACAATGAGGACGGGCCAGCAGCAGGAAAACAAGCCTTCATGAACCATGGTGGAGGAGGAGGAGGGGGGAGCAGTGGCGACGAGTACACCAGGCGAACGGGAGAGTTCAACCGCCGACAGCTGTCCCTGACAGAAACACCGCACCAGCCCAGTGTGCCCAGACAGAACAGTGCTGGTCCACAGCGGAGGATAGACCAACCTCCACCTCAGAGCATCACTCGAGGTCGCACACCCCCAAATCTGCTCAGCAGTGGACCCTACCCCCGTCCGCCTTCTGGCAACGTGATGACATCATCCCCCGATTGGCCTACTGGCGGGAACCAGATACGGCAACAATTATCTTCGTCTAATGTTGACAGTCCTGAGAGCAAGCAGAAAGCTCAGCACAAACAGGTACAGGTCACACATGGGTCTGAGGTGCACACAGGTACTGGTTAAACACAGGCACGAGTCAAACATGGTTACAGGTCACAGACAGGTATATCATGAAGTTTTGTTCCAGACAAACCCATTGCACTTTCTAATTCTAGCAAGTTTAATTGAAGACAACTTACCAGAATTAATATTTAGTTCCCAAAGACGTAACTTCTAATTGAAGAGCTTTTTACATTTGAATTAAAAGGAATGATTTATTACATCAAATGGGCCGTTTACTTTGTGAGTTGTAGAACTCATGCAGTTTACCTCGGCCTCCCTCTTCAGGATCATTAGTGACCTTATTAGTGACCATTAGTGACCTGGTCCTCATTAAAGATGTTAAAGTACCCTGCACGGTGTAAATTACATAAAATTTGATCCAAAGCTTCATTATAAGTTTCCTGATGCATGCTCAATAATCCAGGTAGAATTATTATAAGTTCTGAAATGTCTAAACCTGAGATCTCCTCCTGAGACCTCCTCGTCCATCTTACATGGTGTTCTTCACTCATCTCTCAAATAACCCAACTTCTGTTCAAATTATGAACATTACTATCCTGAAAACATATCCATTATCTCTGTTAGACAACTGTCGGCCTGAAGTGTGGGTTCTGCTTTCATGGTCCATGCCTTTGGGTAGTTGTTTTTGTTCTTGTTGGCCCCACCTGGGGGTGGCTAAGACACAGCTACAACCCATGTGGTTTATTTACATCCAGTCTAATATACTCCAGCATCTAATGAAGCAAAGTTTGGAGGATGTCTTGGAGCCTCTTTTGACACCAGAAACATGCAGAAAGGATGTGACAAATTAAATATTTAGATCATTAGAGTTAAATCATTAGTTGTGTAGTCTCTTGATCAGGTAGAACTGAGAAGCTTCAAGCTTCACCCCACTACCCTCATGTTTATCAGTCTTAATGTTTAAATACTTTATATCTCAGACATACATACATTTGTTAAAATAGTCCACAAATGCAAATGTTTTCTCGATCAAAGAGCCTAAAGCTGCAACTCTGGGTTTTCCTGCAGAAAGTGTAAAACCCAGGTGTGATGGAGAAATTAACCCACAAAAAAGAACATTTATTTTGTTTGTTGTAAAGAGCATTTATTAAGTTTTTGAAGACTTTTTGATGGAGATACATTGTCTATTTTCATTGGACAGTTTGTTCAAATGTACGACAGAGCTTTATGGCCATGCTCAGAAAAAAAAATTACACTACGAACAAGAATAAGGTCATAGTATTACAAGAATAAAGTCGTAATATTATCAGAATAAAGTCGTAATATTATCAGAACTCCGACATGAAAAAGCAGTCTTACAACTGCGGTAAAATGATGAATGTTGACGTCGGCAGTACAATAGCAGGGGCCCAATGCACAGTGACATATGAATTATTATGATAAACTGAACTCGTATGGCATTGCAAGTAATGGCCGCATTGACAGATTTAGTCATCACATAATGTGGATGGAGGCATATTTCATAAACAGTGACCCAAAAATGATCGCGGACTACTTCATAAACACAGTGACTCACATTGGAGGCTGTCCACAGCAGGTGCGAGCCAACACAGGACGTATTACGAGTTTATTCTCGTAATATTATGACTTTTTTCTCGTAATATTATGACTTTATTCTAGCAATCCTATGAATTAATTCTCATAATTTTTTTTAATTTTTTCTTGTAATGTAATTGTTCTTTTCTTAGCATGGTCCTAATATGCCGTTGTACAAATAACAGTCACATGACTAATGGTATATTGTTAAAGAAGGGACTGTGCAGTCTAGATTTTGTTAGATGAAATGTCACCTGGTGCAAGTGAATTAGCCAGTAGTGAAGGCTTGCTGTGTGCACACCGTTTTTTGTTTTTATGATCAGTTTATCCACAGCACGTTGTAGGCACCTGCCGGCATTAAATGTGAATGTGCATGTTTTTGTTTTTAACATTACTCACCTAGCCAGTATTTTTCTGTTGATTATGCTGTGTGTTGTCTCACATTTAAAAGCAGATCCTTCACCCAAGTAGGGAAACCAGAAAGTAGTGTGGTCATGGCAACTGTTCCGGCTGTGCACACACAACACGAAATGACCGGTTTGTTCCTTGACTGGTAATCATTCAAAGACCTAAATAATTTTGCATATGTGGCATCACACACAACAGGTCTTCATGCACATCCTGATATGAACGTCATGCAAAGACAAGCCTCGTTGCTGTGTTGACTCATCAACCTCGAATGTGTGCCACGATGACTCACTAATACTTTCTAACAGTGGTGCCAAACTGTCCTCTACTGGTTCATCAATGTGTTTCTTTATTGTGCTTCCTGAAATAAAAACTTTGGTTATCTTCACTGAAGCCTCTCTAAAAGTTTGTAAGAAGGATCAACTTCTGCTTGTTGTCTTCAGAGTAAACCACTGAGAAAGGTGATTTGAGAAGAGGCACACTTGTGCCATAAGTGTTGGTCTTCTGTAAGTGCCACTGTGCTTCAAATTCAACCTTTACTTTTAGTGAAACTCCCCAGGCTTGTTCGTTTAGTGCAGAGTACTTGGTCTCCCTGTAAAGAGGCCATTTTGAAACATGATTTTGTTGAATATACGCTGTACAAGCTTTTGTTGTTTCATTACTGTTTCCTAACAAAACTTTCCAGCTTAGTTTGAGACTTTACTCATTTTTGCCAGGTTAGCTTGTGGGGTTGCAGGTGTATAAAATGACTATGGCTGAGTCTAGTGCAAGAAAGAGCCATGAATGCAGGCGGCTGTTTTCTAAATGAAATGCCTTGTTGTATAGAAAAATATCTACACAAATCTAAATTTGATCATATTTATTTTTACAAAAAGTTTTTCTTTCTATGTGGCCCTGAACCAAATAATTTGTTTGCCCAGTGGGTTGAGATCCTGATGTATGGAATGGTTTGTGCCTTTTATTCTTTGTTGTTTGATGTTGGGTTTTTTATGGTTTAACAAGCACCCTGTTCACATCTGCTGATCTGAAGAGTTCCTGTTCTTTTCCTTCTGTCTTTGTGGGGATGTTCTCAAACTGATAGTGAAAGTTTGGATGACAGTTTGTGCTCCAGCAGCTGATGTCAGTATTGGTCTGTGTGTCTGTTTTAGATACCCTTCAATGATACTTTTAATTTTCTTGAATTTCTGCAGAACAACCCAAAATAGGCAGTTTGTTGTTTTCTTCCCTGGTGATCTTGATGTTCTTGTCCACTGAGTAGATGTTTGCTGATCTTGATGTTCTTGTCCACTGAGAAGCTGTTTGCTGAAGTCTTCATCTTCATGAGTTTAGATTCTGATCCAGATGTCATCCACATACCTGAATCTATGACTTGGTTCAGTAATACACATTCCACTTCCTTCACATAGATGTTTACAGCATTGTGAGATACTGGAGAACTCCCAGTATATCTATGTTTCTTTCTACCTGGTGCTAGGTTTTAATCAAGTTTCAAATGGAATGTGATGTTTTACCAACCAGAGGAGTCAGAGTGGTGACGCACTGTTGTAGGTGAGGGATTTGATGCTGATGCTGACGAGTCTGAATGGTGTTCCTTTCTCGTGTATCTCTGGAATGGTAGGGCCTCTCCTGAATAAAGTCCAGTTGTTTTTGGTTCTACTTGCTGGAACTGACCTGGATGATGGAGGATCCCCAGCAGCATGTTTCTGAGCACAAAAATTTCTGTTGATAAAAGCAGAATGGGCGTAGCTTCAGACGCAGCACATTAACTCTAATGAATACAGTTGCAGAATGGGTAATAACAGTAATCTGCTTCAAGGCAGCTCATCATTGCACAAGTTTAACTGTTACTGGTCATGTTTAATGAGACGGGAAATAATACACAATTAGTATCTAATTAACTAACTACATGCATTCAGGCAACAAAGACACAAACATATATTTGACTTTCTCAGCTTGCGTATTGTGACAGAAAGAAAACCTCCAGGTAAACTTGAATAAGGATTACAGACTAATTATAACACTGGGCAGCTGTTGCTACTGGTTACAGTGTAATGTGGAGAATATCTCCATGTTAACTGATTTCAAATGAAATATGAGTCAGTCGCACAATCACACATCAAGCTGTTCAAATGTTATTATATTCAAGTATTTCCTGTTCTTTATACAACAAACTGATTGTGTGATTGAGGCAAAGTAATTTACGTTACTTCTATGATTTGGTCTTTGACTAAATAAATTAATGAAAATGCTGAAGGTACTTTGTAGTGCCATGTTCATGAGTAAACTGCCCAAATATATTTAACTTAAATGTCTGTATTATGAAATTCTTTATCAAAAGGGCTCGTGAACGGTCGGCACAGATATTCAGACCAGAGGGAAAAAATAAAACACAGAGGAGGCTGTTACTGCTAGGAGTAATAAGTGTCCTTTATTAACCTGCCACAGAAAACAGCCAAGCAAAAAAACATGTACACTCGTACACTCTTAACACACAAATTGATATGAAATAACTTCTCACCGTGACACTGGCCGGGAAGTCGTTTTCGACCCAGGTAAAGAAGAATCACATCAAAATGGCGTATGGCACCAGCGCGCGGCTGATCCACACAGGACTCCCAAAGATTAAGTTGCCTGTCACACTTCCTCTTATACCTTCTTCCCTGACCGGATCGCGTGAGAGCAGTGATGGTTGTCAGGAGGGCAGATTTAATTAAATCTGTTTTCCCATCTTCAAAGCAGTCTGTGCAACAGAGCGATGGCTTCATCCTTCAAAACCTGGGTCACTGTAACCTTAAGATTGGGCCCAATCTTCTGGTTAGAGCATCCCCCAGAATTACTCCAAAACACATCTGCAGCACAGGAATGACTGAATAAGCAGATAAGCTGCATCAAAAGTGAGTATAAGTGTGTTTAAATAAGTGTAATATAGGTATAGATTGACATAAAAGCATTAAAATAATCATTTCTATATCAATGTCTGATTATAAAATGCACATTCAAGCAATTCTATGACCAAGCTTAATGTCCTGGAACAACTAAGATACTGTCCAAACTGAAGCTCCGAGGACTCTGGTAGAGGACTCAGACAAAGTGTTATATTTCATCTATCTCTAGGGGTGATGTCATTTTGCTTTTGCAAATGATGGAACACTGGGTACAATGTTGTTTTTGAGGCTCTCTGGATGTTAGGTTTCAAAGTCCCCACATCCTATATATCCCTTCTCAGTGGACTTGCTAGTAGTTTTCCTCTCTGGTTAGCTTGAATTAGGTTTAGTGCACAGAGAGGATGTTTGTTGAAGTCTTATCTTCATGAGTTTATATTCTAATCCAGGTGTCATCCACATACCTGAACCAATGACTTGGTGCTGTTTAGTTTAATGCTCTTTGTCCAGCAGTGTTATGTTCTCTGACCTCTCCCATGTCTTGTTCTGGTAGCACATTTTTCACCATAATGTGATGATTCCACAACATCTGAAATTTGCCTTGTTAATACAGGCCAAAACCAAGTTGGCATGCCATCATTTATGTCTCTTGTTCATATGGTTAGCAACAGTGTTTAAAGCTGTGATCTTGTGGGATTACCTATATATATTGAGAGCCCATGTGAAAAAATAGGATGAACTGGGTGTTCATTCATATAACGTCATTGGAAACACACAGATAATCTTTATACTCAGTCAGACAGGTAGGCAGGTGGGTGGACAGATGGATAATAAGGTCATCCTCAGATGTTGGGGGATCAGGACGTCCTGATGAGAAATGGGCTACTGGAACAAGACCTTTATGGATGAGGGCAGAGAACTGAACCCTGTTGGATTCTTCTATACAAGCAAGTCTTGTATATATAGGGTCTATATAGAGTCTCTATACAAACAGTTCTCTCTTGTTCTCTCTCCTAGATGCTCATTGTGACTAACCTGAATAAATAAAGGTTGAATGAAAAAAGTCTTGAAGGAAGGGCTATATGGGAAGGATGTGAAAATTTTGGTGTTTCAACATCTGTAGAAGAAACCCGCTTTCACACAGTGAGACTGACGATGTCCAACCAAGATGCTACAGCAAGGGGGATCCACAAGAACAAGCCAGGGGGGATATCATCATCCCCACCACCCAAGAATAGGTCTAGAACAGAACTGAGCCATTTGCTCACTGATTTTAGTTCACTCTGATAACTCGGTGTATTTCATTTCAATGTTGCCAGTTTGATATTCAAGAAATTCTGGCCCATATCTGAATTTTCTGATACGTATGTGTTTAATGTCTGAGGAGTGTGATCCATTCCACCTGCTGCTTGAATGTATTGCTGCATTTCAGCCTTATTTCTGTTGTTTCTGTGCTGTTACTGCAACCTCCCTGCTACCCCCCCCCCCCTGTCAATCTGCTCATCTTTGTGTGTGTGTGTGTGTGTGTGCGTGCGTGCGTGCGTGCGTGCGTGTGTGTGTGTGTGTGTGTGTGTGTGTGTGTGTGTGTGTGTGTGTTGGTTTCACCAGGCCCCCTCCCCAGTGAACCCCAGTGCATTGGAACGTACAGCAGCCTGGCTGTTGAATATGAATATGCAGTTTTTAGACCATGAGGGGATGGAGCCCGAGTCACTGAGACACACAGACCATCTAACTGAGGTGGAGAAGGTAACCTTTGACCTTTAGAACCCCCCTTTTTAACAGACCCCCCACACTTCTCCTCCTTACTAATCTTTTCTTGCTCTGTCACTCATTAATCCACATCACACAGAATCTCTTATTCTCTGCTGGTTTATTCCCACTGTAGCCTGCTTTTGGTTAGGTTCAAGAGGTTTAGTCTCACTGAATCCAACAGTCATTATTAAAAACAAAATCAGAGGTGGACAGATTATCTGCAAGGGCAACCCAGATTGATTAATCTGTTAATTATCCTTTATTTAAATAAGGTGAGTGATTTGTTCAGTAGGCTGGACAGTTCATGTGAAAATCCTGATCGTTCAGTTTTTAACCAAAATTTAAACAAACTGTTGTTTATGACAAAAATAGGATTGTGTTTATTTTAGCAGCTGAATTCATTGGTTACTGCTAAAAAACAGTTTGTCTCATGTTGAAACAATAAAATGTATATCAGAAACATTTAATGGACTTCTAAAATATCAAGAAGAATTGATAATATATTACGTCATCGTTTTACTTATTTTAAAGTGAGCGATGGGAAACTTTGCCCAGTTCTCTCTTTACCCGCAAACACACACACAGACAAAACTCAGACAGGTGTGTGTCTGTGCGTGTGTGTGTGTATGTGCATGTGTGTGTGTGTTTCTCTGCATGTTTGTTTCTGAGTGTCAGACAGAAAAAAGTGCTTCCTGCTGATTCCTCTGCTTGCAGATCTCCACAGCTGTTCTCCATCTCGCTGCTTCATGTTTCTGTGCTTTGGTTGGGTGACGTCTACATGCCTCCTACCTCACCCCCCCACCCCAGCCACCCCCACCCTTGGCTATTTTTCCATTTGTAATGAGAAGGAAGCTTATCCAAACAGCACATAGTTTCTGGGAGGGAGAGCAACCAAAGAAGTCGAGTCTGACCAGAGAAACTGCAGCTTCCCTGAAATCTCTGAAAGAACCCAGAACATCCTGATCCATGCTCAATAATCCAGGTAGAAAAATCTAACAAAGTTAAATCAGGTAATCTGGACAGATTAAAAACAAAATGTTGAAACATTTCATCTTTTATCCCTTAGACTTGTGTAGTCTGAGGAGCTGCACTAAACTCATTCTTATAAATATCACCTTCTCATAGTGGATCAACCAGAACTAGCTGTTCACATGATAAAGGAGGACCATCAGCCTAACGACCGATCGTTAGTGCCTTGATAGTCACTTGCTATTCATTTCAATTTAGTTTATTTATATAGCACCAAATCACAATAAACTTGTCTCAGGACACTTTACAGGAACATTCACATACATAGAAAAGCCAATTAGTAAAGTTCTCTATCTAAGGAAGCAGCAGACAAGTTTAATCTTCACTTTGTCGCAGTCTCCCATCATCCTATCCATTTTATTCACAGAGGGCTGAGTGATACTAACAATAACAGCATTGCAGGTGACAATTGGACACAGAGGCCTCCGCCACTGTTTAATGATGGATTGTTTCTTTTCATAAAGATGGTCTCCTTCACTCCTCTCTCAAACCATTGTCCCTCTCTATCCAGGATGTGAACATTTTCATCCCTGAATGAGTGACTGCTGGCCTGGAGATGAGTGCAGACCGCAGAGTCTTTCAAGGATGAAGATGTTCACATCCTTGATAGAGAGGAATGTTGGTTTGAGAGAGAAGTAAAGGAGGCCATCTTTGTGAAGAGAAATTGTCCATCATTAAACGGTGCGAAGCCTCCGTGTTCAACTGCCCCCCTCTTACAATGTTGTTATTGCTAGTATCACTCAGCCCCCTGTGAATAGGAAGCAGCCATCAGGGCTCTAACGATCAGTCGTTAGACTGATGGTCCTCCAGCTAATGAACAGCTAGTTTTTTTCTGTCAGCATCAAACTGGTTGATCCACTATGAGAAAGTGTTATTTATAAGACTGAGTTTATTGCAGCTCTTCAAACTGACAAAGTCTTTTGGATAAAAGACGAAATGTTTCAACAGTTTTTTTTTTATCTGTCCAGATGACCTGATTTAACTTTGTTAAACCCAGAACATGTTCTCCATTATCTCACAGACAAACTGCTGCTGATCATCTTTACTACTTGAACTTTATTTCTTCTGCACTCAAGCTGGTTTTTATTATATAGCCAATTCATTTTAGAAACACACAACAGATAATAATAAATATTTATTAGCATGATGGTGTAAAACAGATATGTCAGAGCATTGGAAAAAAAAAATATGAGTTTATCACTCTGAGTGACTATGTGGGCAAACCCTTAAACAAGTTCCTAAACTTCAGGGCAGATGGTGATCAGCTGCATGCAAGCAACAAAGTTAAAACTGAAAACTGGATAAGAAAATTCTCATTCCATCTGTCGAGGAAAATTAACACAACTCAGACTTTTCAGCCTATTCACCTGTTCTTCTCATTGGTTCGGAGATACATGGAGAAAAGACACAATAATCAGTCAGAGAGATTCAAGTTAAAAGGTATTACCAACATTTATTAAAGCTTTCAGCTGAAAGGAGACCCTCTTACCCCAAACCAACAGAGACAAAGCAAAAACCCAAGACACGTCTGACTGGAGCTTCAGCATCTCCTGTATTTAAACACAAAAGCCCCACCCAGAGATGTGTCACACATTCTTAAGTTCTTTGTCTAAACTAGTTCAAACTGATTTCATTTCCTGGAAGTCCTTTTATGGAGTTGTTTTATTATTTTCTTCTGCTGTTCCAGTTTACTTGGTGATCTTGTCATCAGGTGGGACATACACACCAGCAGCTCCCTGTTAGTTCATGTCCCATACACAAAAAACTTAAATACATTCTCTGACTTAGTTCACTCTGTACTTGTTGATACCAAAAGGCAAGTGGATCCAAAAGCCAAGCAGATACAGATAAAGGACAAGATACAGTTGTGATACATCGAGCAATACAGCACATCAGATAAGAGCGTCTTTACACATCTGATCCAGAATGCATGTGAATAAAGCGTTCACACGGTGAAGTCCTGGTCAGCTGGCACACGACATGATACTACTGTGATCGTACCACTGCTGCTGAATGATGGAGCAACACGTGCTGCCGTCCAGATTACATTCGTTTTAGGGAAAGCCTTTCTAGGGAATGTTGCAAACAATAAAATAATCTGTACCCCTGCCCTTACCATTTTATCATTCAGGATTATTTTATAATTTCTATAATACCTGCACCAACTAATAGTAGAATTTTACCCCACTGACAGTTTAGCTTATTTTACCTGCTATATGTGAAACATTTACAACAGAAATCTGAGCAGAGTTGACAGTTGATACTGTGATCCCATAACCGAGCAGTGTCCATAGCATCTGTGTCCAGAAGGGTCGTTACCTTGGTCACCTAGAACCAAGCAGTGTTGATGCTTTGGTCACAGCAGGAGAACAAGCAGAGCTGATAAGGTCCACAGGGTGATCTATGGTTCGCTTTAAGGAAGGGTTTCAAACGTTAAAGTTGTAATTACCGTAATCTGTTCCATGGGATCCAAAAACCCATTCGGAGGTCATACATGGAGAAAGAAGTGAAGAAACAGCTGAACAGGTTACATATTTTTGAGCTTCCTGTTTTTTGTTTTGAAGGAACAACGTGGGAGTCAGGCAGGAGAGGGACATCAGGTTGTGATTTGGGGCTGTGATTTGGGGCTATATAAATAAACTGAATTGAACCAAATTGAATTGAAACTGAGCTGTATCTTAATACTTCTCAGAATTATTTTTTGTGGTAGGCTGAAGCTCATCCAGATCATGATACTTCTAAATTCAGCAAAAGGCTGCAAATGAACTTCCATGCTTGGTTTTTAACGCTTCATTTGTCATCCAAAAAAGTTCAATCTGGTCCTCTGGACATTCAAAAAAACAAAAAACAAAACAAGACAAAAAAATGTAGAAAGGTTTTGTCTCTCATCCGAGAGACTTAATTAAATCTCGGGAAGTCCAACATTTTACTGACCACATCAACTCTGTGGATAAATACATCAAGTTCACATGAGAATTTGTAAAAAAAAAGGGCGGGTTGGCTTTCTTGGACTGTGAAGTCTCAGTCTCTGATAGAGGACATTTGCAAACCGAGTTGTACCGCAAACCCACCCACACAGACCAGTATTTGCAGTTTGACTCCCATCACCCTTTGGAGCACAAGTTAGGAGTCATCAGGACTCTGTATCACAGAGTAGACAGCATACCCACTAACTCAGGAGCCAGGCAGAAGGAGAAATCCTACACAAGACAGGCTCTAGAGCAATGTGGATATCCTAACTGGGCCTTCCTGAAAGCAGAGAAGAAACCCAAACAGGACTCCAGTCAGCCTACAGGTGAAAAGGAGGAACCCAGACCCAGACCAGTGGTCATTCCGTATGTTGAGGGAGTATCAGAGAAACTGAGACGTTTATTTTCTAAACATAATGTCCCAGTGGCTTTTAAACCCCAAAATACATTACGGCAAAACTGGTTCATCCCAAAGATCCAGTCCCCCGGCACAAACAGAGTAATATTGTGTATGCTGTTCAGTGTCAGGAGGGCTGTGATCAGTCTTACATCGGGGAAACTAAACAGCCACTGGCCAAAAGGATGGCCCAGCACAGAAGATCAACATCATCAGGCCAGGATTCTGCGGTCTACACTCCTCCAGGCCAGCGGTCACTCTTTCAGGGATCAAGATGTTCACATCCTGGACAGAGAGGAACGATGGTTTGAGAGGGGAGTAAAGGAGGCCATCCTTGTGAAAATAAATTGTCCATCATTAAACAGGGGTGGAGGCCTCTGGGTTCAACTGTCCCCCTCTTACAATGCTGTTATTGCTAGTATCACTCAACCCCCTGTGAATAGTAAACAGCCATCAGTGTGCATCCATTGTTAGGCTGATGGTCCTTCTTGACCATGTGAGCAGTTGGTTTTGGTTGTCAGCAGCAAACTGGTTGATCCACTCTGAGAAGGTGCTATTTAAGTGACTGAGCTGAATACAGCACCTCAGACTGAGGAAGTCTTTCGGATGAGAGACGAAACGTTTCTACATTTTTTTGCTTTGTTTTGTTTTTTGTTTTTTTTTGAATGTCCAGAGGACCAGATTGAACTTTTTTGGATTTTTCTACCTGGATTATTGAGCATGCATCAGGATCTTCATTTGTCAGTTTTAAGCTGAAAAACATTTCAGATGAGACAAACCATTTTAAAGACCTATAAAGAAAAGTCCGTGTGGATTTTGTTGAAGCTCCTCTGAAATCAGCAGATCATTACCTAGAATGAACTCTGAGCCTTTTAAGACCTTTTCGGTGGAAACTTTAGTGTCACTTGAAACAGAAGTGACCACATGATGTTTCTGCAGCGATGCAGGAACAGAAACCTCTTTCTGTCCCTTTGTAATCATTTCTCGTCTCAGTTATATCTCTGCTGCTCTGTTCAGTACCAACAGGAGATCACAGTGCTGCAGGAGAAACTGAGAACATCTGTGCAGAAGCTGGAGGAGTATGAGGTCCGCCTGAAGGGTCAGGACGAGCAGGCCCAGAAGGTTCTGATGGAGTATCAGGCCAGGCTGGAGGAGTCAGAGGAGCGTCTGCGCAGACAGCAGGATGATAAAGACCTCCAGATGAAGAACATCATCAGCCGGTACGAAGCTGAAGATGTGCAGAAGCATTGTTATGTGTTTGTTCTGGGACTGTAACACGTTGTTACCATGTTCAGGTTAATGTCGGTGGAAGAGGAGCTGAAGAAGGATCACTCTGACATGCAGGCAGTCGTCGACTCCAAACAGAAGATTATTGATGCGCAGGTCCGTGTGCTTTGTTAAATATGCCGACTAGGAAACACTCCCTGTGCATTTATTATCTATGTTTTAAATATTTTCATGCCCTCGGGTCACTAGAAAACCAAAAAATGTTGCCTTCAGAACAGATTACCTTCAGGCTTTAAAAAGCTCAAACAGTCGAACAGAATCTCTCAATTCCCTTTCTTATTGAACAAAATATTCAAATATTAAATTTATGCTGACCATAGAAAACTGAAAACATAATTTAATGGAGAGAGAGCAGAAAAGTTGTGGTCAAGAGTTTGTTTAAACTGGATCCTATTTGATATTCAGCTTTTGTTCACGTGTCCTCAGAATGGTACTGTACAACATATTAATGTAGATTTTAAAACAAATACATGTCCTGTCCACAGTGGTCCAGGTTGTATGATCAAACTAGCACAGCTCAGTGAGGTAGTGTGTCTTCTCAGAGGAAAAAAGAAGAATAAACAGGATAATTTGGGGTAAGGTTGAGGTTATTGTGGGTTAGAGTTGTTGGATTGGGGAAGAATAAGTGGATAAGTGGGGTAAGAATAAGTGGGAAAGAATTGTCTCATTGACTCTCTTTGCCTTGTCTGTCAACTGGTCACAGGAATAGAAAGTCAAATAGTTGCACTGACTGACACTATGTTTTATTTAGCCTCTCGAGTTGATGTGGGGGCAGCACGGTGGCGCAACTGGTAGAGCTGCTGCCTCTCAGCGAACAGGTCCCTGGTTCAAACCCCGGTCCAGGGGCCTTCTGGGTGGAGTTTGCATGTTCTCTCCGTGCATGCGTGGGTTTTCTCCGGGTACTCCGGTTTCCTCCCACAGACCAAAAACATGCATGTTAGGCTGATTGGTAACTCTAAATTGTCCCTAGGTGTGAGTGAGAGAGTGAATGTTTGTTTGTCTCGTTTGTCTCTATGTGTCCCTGTGATGGACTTGCGACCCGTCCAGGGTGTACCCCGCCCCTCGCACAGTGATTGCTGGACATGGGCACCAGCGACCCCCGTGACCCAAAATGGAATAAACGGGTAAAGAAAATGGATGGATGGATGGATGGAGTTGATGTGGATCAAGGCCTCAAATTGTAAGTGTTTGGTATGGATCCTGGATTGATGGATTTGGGACCTAGTAGTGGTCCTTGGGATCATACGGATGTTTTGGTCATAATCACTGGACACCCTGACCCAGAGTGACACCCAAGGAATTCTTCAGGCCTTGGTGTGTTCCCCATAGCTGAATGGTTCTCCACTTCAGAAAATACCATGTTCTCTGAGTGCCACTATTGTTTCGCCATCATTACAAACAGATAGCAGATTTGACATTAAAAAAACCTACAAAATCTTACCTAACTCTAATCTAAAACCCAAATCAGGTTCTTTATCCTAACCCTAACCTTTCCACAGACTTGTCCACACATTGAGACCTGACCATCCTCAGCTGAGCTTTCCTTGGGTCAGGGTGTCTAACAGCCTAAATACCCGATGAACCCAAAGTCTACAACTGAAGATGTGTCCCAACGTTCTAACAAACCCAGAGATGCTAACTAAATGCAATAATGTGAATAATGTTCACATTTTATCTCCTATCAAAGGAGAAGAGATCTTGATTGACATGTCAGACTGTGCCTTACCCTCAACTCATTGGACTTATTCAGGGGAAACATCAAGACAAGCAACCACCCCTAAATTTGATCTAAGGGTCCATTTAAAAAGTGTTTCCTGCATTCATTGTTGAGAACAGTTCCACTTCAACTGCAGTCTGCACTCTTTCTCTGCTCCTCTGTTTTGCACCTTTTATTGTTCACCGGTCCTATAAAGACACTGGTGCTTCCTAAATATCCAGTAGGTCAACCATCGTCCACTCCAATTGCCACAAGTTCTCAAAAGATCCTCCATTCCAGTTTTGTTTTGTGTATTTTCTATTTGAATCATATTCTGCTTTAACCACTCGTCTCTTTCTCTCTCTCTCTGTATTTTGTTTTACAGCACAGTTCAAGTTATTGTAGCTTCTTTAACTTGTAAAAGAATAATACATAAAAAATAATTCTGAGTACCACTGGAGGGGTCCTGAGTACTGTAACACTATCCTAGTCTTTGTCAAATGGTTTTGTTAAATAATTTAGTTTAGAGAATGGAAGGACTTTTTAAATTACAGTATACTTTTATAAAAAAATAGTTTAGAGTAATGTGTTACTAAAAACACGAAGGGACTGAACACAGAGTCATGGTTGTGTTTACAGTGTTTATTGTAATATCAGAATCAGAATGCTTTTATTATCCTTGCAAGTACAACCAAATAACATTCTTTACAGCCGTCCGAAAGATGGATGGAAGTGTACAGGGGGCTGCAGCTTCTAAGATGAGCTGCTCTTGTTGCTTAGATAAGAAAAGGGGAAGAAAAACATAAGGAGAAAGGTACTGTATAAAACAAGATCTCTCACGCCATGTCCTAGACAAGACACAGTTTGAGGCATCAAAAAAATCTACCACAGCAAAGCAACATAGACATAATACATATGCGTGTGGAGTGAGTAGGGGTCCCAGCACAACCACCAGGTGAGTGACACAGTCCTTGTCGCCTTCGCATCTACTAGGTTTCTGCACCAGGGGAGGCGAGGGAGGCCAGTGGAGGCATTGAGTTTGAGGGAAGGTCATAGCACAGCACAGTCCAGAGCCCCCCGCACCCCCACCCCACCCCCACCCCACACACACACACACACACGCACAGCAATAGTCCTGATAAGAGGTGTTTGTTTATCAGCTAGCTCGGTTGAGCTCTGTCTGTCACAGGTCCATGACCTTGGGGAAGGGAGAGGGTGTGGAGTGGGGACAGATTGTCTTTGTTTCCATAATATCCCAGGAGAAATTTGCGCGGTAAGAGGGTTCTCCTTTACCCTGAATACCTGTAGAGAAAAACTGATCAGTTTCGAGAGACCAGCTGATCAAATCCATTGTTAAACAATTTGGAAGGAATGACAAAAAAAGGGGCTCTGAAAAAGGTTCACAAGACAAAGAGCAAAGCAGGGACAGGCAAGGGACAGAGCAGAGGAGGACACGTCTGCCTTCCACCGAGAACAAGCAAGAATGAATTTATGAATTTATTCCCACTTTTTGTTCCTGATGTAGTTGATGAAAACACCTGTAAGAGTTTTTCATTCTGACCCCCCAACAATAAACTGACAAATTAAAATGAGTGGGATCTATAAACAACATTAGGTGTTAGATGTTGCCATTCAAAGGTAGGCTGATGATCTAAACAGGCATGAGCCTCGTCAAAAAATCCTGCAGACCCTTGAGGATCAGAATTCAAAGTGTGGACTTCACCTCGGTGCTTTATCTGGAGCTGTTTCTGTTCTTTGTTTGCAGGAGAAGCGGATAGCATCACTGGATGCTGCCAACGCTCGTTTGATGAGCGCTCTCAGTCAGCTGAAGGAACGTTACAGCATGCAGACCCGCAACGGGATCTCCCCCACCAACCCCAGCAAACTGCAGATTACAGAGAACGGAGAGTTCAGAAACAGCAGCAACTGCTAGACGTTCCTGGGTACAGATTTTCAAAGATAGGATGTGGAGGAGCTTCAGAGACACTAGGGGGGATGAGTGGACTACATCTGCAAGGTGTTTAGAAGGCGATGTGGGAGTGAGGAGCAGCATGACAGGCAGATCACCTGACCGAGGAGGCGGGACCTTTGTTATCACAGTGACTGACAGAGGCGGGGCTTGTATATAAAGACTCAGCCGTCCATCACTCTGTCCAGTCGCTGGCACAAACCACTACATGACCACCTCTAGAAATGGTCTCCATAGCAACCATCACGTCCTCCTCTCCTCCCTGACGGCTGAGCAGAGCCATTAATCCAACAGCTTTTCTCTTCAGTCTTCTCCAGAGGTTTTCTTTATAAGGCATTATTTGAAAGCGTTCTTAAAAACCAAATAGGAGCTAAAAATTGATATTTTTAGTCTAAAACAATCTTTACTTCCTGTTTAACTCATGGGTTTGTTCCTTGACCGCCCCAAATGCAGAGCACTTTGTGAAAAACTATTGGTACATAAAAACGCCTTAACTAGGAACACACCTCAATATTAACAACCCACCTCTGCTTTTCTCCAAAAATGGCACAACTTATACTGTGGATTTGTAAAGAATACAGCAGTAAACTGCGAACATGTTGATGTATTATAAAAATCTAAGTAAATGTGATATTATATTAATGACATTTAATATTAATGTATGCAGCTTTTTTCCTTCTTTAAACACATATACTTATATTTGATAAACAGATCCCTTTATTTAGGAGTGAAATCTAGTTTTATTTTTCTTCTCTGATGATGAGAGTGTAGTTCTTTTCATCGTTTGGACCCTGGAGGAAGAGACCACACCAAGCAGTGATCCTAAGAACATCTATAATTTTCCACCCTTCATGCACAGTCAGGTGGTTTGTTGTTCTTCTGGACTGTGGGGGGTGTTCTCTTGTTGAACAGGAGCTTTGAGAGATGAGCAGAGATGCACTCCCTCACACTAACACTGGAGCAGTCTTTCCTCTCTAACTGCTTTATTTGTTCATGGTGATGAAGCTGCATCCTAACTGGGACTCTTTACATCCTCGAGCCAACATCTCCTCCTCATCTGTTCTTTTCTTACCATCCAAATTTCTTCTGAATGTAAAGACAGTGTCCAGTCCTTCTTATGGCTCCTGTCATCATTAGCATCTCAGCATCGGTATTTTGTGCATTTATATCCCCATTTTTCTTATCTGTAACAGATTGGAGGTGTGAGGCTCTGCATGTTTCAGAGACAGGCTTAGGATCGGGTCAGACCGTGACAGACACCACGGGTAGATTTATAACCGCATGTATCATGAGAAGGGACAGTCTGGGAAGATGTAAATAAAATGCTAACACTATTTTAGCTAACGTTACCAGAGCTTTTTGTATGTTTCTCGTGCTCAGACTCTGCTGTCTGATCTGGATGTTGTAAATATAGTCCGTTCTCACTGGCTAGAAGTGTACAGTTAACCTGATTTCTCTGGTAATGCTCTAACCCTAACCCTTACCACGGCCCAAACACTGATTGCAGAGGAGTTTGACGCTCCAGATGGATGCCTTTCTAGTCTCAGGCCAAGCCAAGTCCGACAAGATGCGAAAGCACAATCCTGTAACTCTCATCAGTCTGAATAGTTGATTTTTAGAAATCATAAAACCTGTTTTTGGTACAACCCTTATTCTGTTAATGAAATCAACATGCAGTCATTTGCAAAAGTCATTAACTCACATTTTATTCACAACAGAACATAAATATATCAAAATAAGGTCATTTTGAATTTGATGGCAGCAACACATCTCAAAAAGTTGGGACAAAGGCAACTAAAGGATTTAAAAGTTCAGTTAAGATACAGTCAAAAAGCATTGTACAAGATTATTTAGCAACAAGTTGGTAAGGGGACTGGATAAAAAAAGAACATTTCAGAAAAGATGAATCTCTCAGAATGGCACAATGGATCAGTTGGTAGAGCTGCCATCTCTCAGCGAGAAGGTTGCCGGATTGAATCCTGGCCGGGCGGCCATTCTAGGTGGAGTTTGCATGTGTGGGTTTTCTCCGGGTACTCTAGTTTCCTCCCACAGACCAAAAACATGCATGTTAAACTGACTGGTGACTCTAAATTGTCCCCAGGTGTGAATGAGAGAGTTAATGTTTGTCTTGTTTTTCTCTGTGTCCCTGTGATGGACAGAAGACCTGTCCAGAGTGTCCACACCTCTCGCACAGAGACAGCTGGACATGGGCACCAGTGACCCCTGCAACCCAAAAAGGAAGAAGCAAGTAAAGATGATGGATGGATCCCTCATAAGTAATGTTAAGCAGAGGTTCAGTCCAGTCTGTTCAAACATCTAAATTATTGGGAAAATCTAGGAATAATCTTGCTTAACTGAAGATTGAACTATGAGCATACAATCATACATATTTTTTTTTTAAATCTCCAAAAGTTGTGAAGAATCTGTAGAAATCTCTACATGTATGATCTTTGGGCCCTCAAGCAGCACTGCATTGAAAACTGGTCTAGTTTTGTTCTGAGCTCCAATCATTGTGTGGGCTCAGGACCACATGATCTCCAAATTCTGGTTAAAGCTCTGTCATGTAAAGAAGGAGCTGTAAGTGAGCACCATCCAGAACAGCTGTCATCTTCTCTGGGCCAAAGCTCATGTAAAAGGACTGGGACAAACTGAACTGTTCTGTAGTCAAATTGAAAACTGAAATTCTGTTTTAAAACCATGAATACCACATCCTCATGCAAAAGTTGATAGTTCAAAGGTCTGCCTCGCTGATGGTATGATGGTGTATTAGTGCCTATAGTGGGGGTAGCTTACATATCAGAAAAGTTTTTAAATTTTAGAACAGTGTATGCTCAAAAGTCAAACTTGTTTGGAAGGTCAGATCAGTGTCCCTGGCTACCAAAGTTGGAGTTCTGTGTGCACTTGTTTTGTCAGTCCTTCTCTGTACCACAGAGACCTGGACTCTGAATGCTGAGATAGAGAAAAATATGTAAAATGCATTTGAAATGACCTGCTACAGTCACCCGTTTCAGGTCCACTGCCCTCCCACACTACAAATGCTGAGACCCGCCGTAGATTCCATGTCCTCATTGACAAGCACGACTAATTTCTGATACATCTGCATTAGGAAGAAGAAATTGAAGCGTTTTGTCCTCGTAGTGAGGGCCAAAGGAACTCTGTCAAATGTGATCCTTCAGGGAAAAGCTGAAGTAACTTGTAAAAAAAAGGGCTTCCTTTTCGACAATGAGCACACGACATCCATTGATGGACGTAGCTCCCTTTCGGTGTCCAACCTACAGAGGACCAGGTCCAGGTGGATGTTGCTGTTGAATGATGTTTCTACTGTCCCACAGCAATAGGCCAAAGGACTGATGATGATGATGATGATGATCATGCTACACAGTGTATTTTCCATTGCAGCAGGACTGGACTCTTCATAGTAGAAGAGCCCGGGTGCTGAACTGACCTGCCTGCAGTCCAGACCTCTCACCAACTGAAAACATTTGATACATTATAAAACAAAAAACGAGCCAGAACTATAACAGCTAGAATTTATATGAGAACGGGACAACATTCCCTCTAAAACTCCAGCAGGTCTCCTCAGTTCCTGCAACAAATTATTGTTAAGAACAGGAGTAAATACGGTCCTGTTTAAACTTTTTGTGTTGCTGCCAGCAAATTCACAATTACCTTGATTTTCTAAAAATGGTGCAGTTAAACTGAAACAGGTTGTATATTTATTATATTCCATTTCATTCCATTTTCAATTACATTTTACGCAACGTCTAAACTTTGTCAAGATCGGGATGGCATTTTAAAAATATGGCTAAGTTCCCCAATGACAAACTAAATTTTTAATAAAACTCATGCATAAAATTTTACATCAGACCAACAGTTTGTTTAGTTGTCGAGCCAAAACCGAACCAGGACTTTTCTTATCAGATGACCTTCAGTCCTAAAAGCCGTCTCGGGTTTGGGTTTTTAAGCTAACCTGCAGACTGAAGCCAGACTGTGATACTTTTGTAAGGAGCAAAGACAATAATAGGATCAGCTTCTAAACATTTTCAAATATATTATAGATTTTTTTTTAAGTTTTAGATCTAATTTCTATTCAACCAGTCACAGATAGTTGTTACTAAATCTGAGTTCTCCCAGTGCCAGTTACTACCCTGTACAGGTAAACAGAATCTACACTGAAAATCATATAAAGACACAGTCAGAGAGGCCACACCCTGTTTCAGTTGGACAGTTTTCTAAACCAGTACACAGAAACTAAATTCAGTTTATTTATATATGGGCGGCTGTGGCTGAGTGGTTAGAGCAGTCGTCCTCCAATGCGAGAGTGTCCCACATGCTGAAGTGTCCCTGGGCAAGACACTGAACCTCTCATAGCCTCTGATGTGTGTCCCATCAGTGTATGAATGTGATCTAAAGCACTGATTAGTCTCTTTAGAATGATTTGTTCAATTAGCTTTGTAGAGATCTAGTAGAGAGCTGTATGAATGGGTAAATGAGGCACAGATTGTAGTGTAAAGCGTTTTGAGTATCTTGAAATAAGATAGAAAGGCGCTATATAAGTACAGTCCATTTACCATAGCACTGGCTCAGGACAAGTGGCTATCTGCTTCAACTGGCTATAGGTTTGAGAGGACAGGAAGTAGAAACAGACAAACAGAATGAACACAGTGGTCCAGGTGTACTTTCTATAGGAAACAAAAAATGCATGTTAAGACAGAAATAATTATAAATAAAAACAGGTAGTGAGTAAACACAGCAGCAGAGAGAAGAAATGTAGTCAGTTTGTCCTCCAGCAGTCTAAACCTATAGCAGCAGAACTAATAGCTCAAGAAACCCAAGCCAACCCTAACTATAGGATTTACCAAAAAGGAAAGCATTGAGGCCAGTCTTAAAACTGGACCATGTGTCAGCCTCACAGACAGAAACTGGAAATTGGTTCCACAAGAGAGGAGCCTGATAACTGAAAGGTCTTCCTCCCATTCTGCTTTTAGAAACTCTAGTCTGAAATGATCTGAATTAATCTCAAGGATCACAAAAAGCACACAACAGATTCCTCCTGGTTATTTATTTAACAAAAATAGAGCTTTAGAAAAATATTCTTGCTATGATGTTTACATTGTAAAATACACACACACACA